ATCTGCTCCTTTGTGCAAGAAGGAACAGAATGAGCACTGCCAGAGCCCTACAAAATTACCTCCAGCAGGCCACTGATGTGAATGTTTCTGACCAAACAATCAGAAACAGACTTCATGAGGGTGGCCTGAGGGTCCAAAGTCCTCTAGTGGGCCCTGTGCTCACTGCCCGGAACCATAGAGCCCGATTGGCATTCTCCATTTAAAACCAGATATGGCAGGTCCGCCACTGGCACCCTGTGCTTTTCACAGTTGAGAACAGGTTCACCCTGAAGACATGTGATAGACGTGAAAGGGTCTGGAGAAGCCGTGGAAATGTTATGCTGCCTGTACCACCGTTGAGCACAACCGTGTTGGTGGTGGGTCAGTGATGGTCTTGGGAGGCATATCCATGGAGGGATGCACAGAACTCTACAGACTAGACCAGCCTTTCTCAACCTTTTCAAAGCAGAGGAACCCTTGACATAACTTTCTGGTCTCAGGGAACCCCTGCTAAAAATGACTATATCTACAATTCATGATACATTAGTGTGATAGTCAGAGGTAAGAATGCTCCTTACACTTGTGGCAATTGGGAACAATTACCCCCTTACATATTGGTAAAAAGATCAATGGTGTCAGAGAGAAGCAAACATTGCTGATTGCTCAAGGTACCCCTAGCAACCTCTGGAGGAAGCCTAGGGTTCAACCAAACCCTGGTTGAGAAACTCTGGGCTAGACAATGTCACCATAAAATCCTTGGACCCATTGTCAGACCCTACACTAGTGCAGTGGGTGCTGGGTTCCTCCTGGTGCACGACAATGCCAATAGAACACCTCTGGGATATCATGTTTCGGTCCATCCGATGCCTCCAGGTTGCACCTCAGACTGTACAGGAGTTCACTGATGTCCTGGTCCAGATCTGGGAGGAAATACTCTAGGACACCATCCGTTGTCTCATTAGGAACATGCCTGGATGTTGTTAGGCATGCATACAAGCACATGGGGGTCATACAAACTACTGAGTACCATTTTGAGTTGCTGCAATGAAATTTCACCAAAATGGACTAGCCTGCTGCATCATTTTTTCACTTTGATTTTCGGGGTGCCTTTGAATTCAGTCCTCTGTAGGTTGATTTTCATTTCCATCAAACGATGGGGCATCCTTACATACCTAATACATTACCCAGTCCATATCAGTATAGATATCCAGCATGATATTTTTACCCATTGAGATCTGATGTGCTTTCAAAGTGTTCCTTTAGTTTTTTTGAGCAATGTACATATATTATTATTATTATATTATTACACAGTATTTATATAGCGCCAACAGTTCGCTCAGCGCTGTAAATTACAATGGGAGACAATACATGAGACAGTACAATAACAATACAATGCGATACACGAGGGGTACGAGGGCCCTGCTCCTTGTAGCTTACAATCTAGGAGGGAGGGGATAGTGGTACGGGAGGAAAAGCTGTGGGGGATGGAGTGGTAGGAAGAGTGGAGGAGATCGGCAATTAGCAGAGGGCGGGGTAGGCTTCCCTGAAGAGGTGGGTTTTCAGGGTGTGCCTAAAGGAGAGGAGAGTAGGTGACAGTCTGATGGATTGGGGTAGGGAGTTCCAGAGGATGGGTGATGCCCTGGAGAAGTCCTGGAGGCAGGCATGGGAGGAGGAGACAATGGCTCCTGCTGCTGTCTCTAAACATATGAAGAGTGAGAGAGTCACTGCTCTCAGGCACAGTGCTGGTTGGAAATCAGGCTTAGGTAAGTAAAAGTGGGGGGCTTGACTCAGAAGGTTTGCAGAGAATGCATTAAGGTAAAAAATCTTCAGCCTTTAGAACTACTTTAAATGTCTACTTTGGTTATACCATGGAGCTTCAAAGCCAGGTAAACTTTGATTGCTCACAAGCTCACAAGCCCATATAGACATACAGGAGCAAGACATGTTTCTAATGCATGAGTTTTTCCAAAATGATCATAAATGTCAGAAAATGTGGATTTAAACAGTAAAGGGGTAAAAAAAAGATCTACCCTTTTCTCAAAAAGGATTATGAATAAAGAAAGAATGGATTGTGATTGTGGTAGTACCTACCTAAATAATATTGTTATTAATGTCTCTTTTATGAAAGTATTGTTTTAGGCTCTGTAGCTCGTTTAAATAAGGGCACATTTCCCATAAAGAACATTCCTACTAATATTATTTAAAACTAATTTTAAATTTACATATTTCAAAAAGCAGTGGAACATTACAGCTTATGAAATATATTTGCATATAACTTTTTGACTAAATTTTCATGCATTAATGACCTGCAAGTGCCCAGAAACTTGAATGGGTAGCAGCTGCTAACATTAAAATAACTGTTAGAGTTAAAATAAAAGCTAATTAGAATAAATTTAGTCTATTACAGTAATAATCCACTTAGATCAGGATATTGACTGGCCATAAATGCCCTTGGCAGGATTTCAACTCATCCAGGTGGTTATTAATATTAACATCCTGTACTTTTTACAAGCTTTATTGTCTAGGCAGAGTGTAACAGAAAGAACAATCGGTATTAGTCGACTTCTATTAGCTTTTATTGGCAAGGAGAACAAGTAGTTGGTGACTTTACCTGCTAAATATACACAGTGAGCCTCATGCATTAAAAAGTCTGGAAGAAAAGTTCTTGTTGCCCATAGCAATCAGTCAGATTTGCCTTGTAGGTTTTCAATACTGTGTTTAAAACATAAAAGGGAGAAAAGAAACTTTTTTTTGTTTTCTAATTGTAATTTTTATTAAACTTTTGCCAAAGTACGATAAAGAGAAAGCAGTACAATAACATACAAAAGATCATTTCACATATCATGAAGTGTAACAACAGGGAAATAAAAGATTAAACAATATTTTTAAAGTCTTTGCCAATCTCAAAGTTTGACTTTTGACAATGAAAGAAGAAGGTACTGGTTTGGTAAGACCATGATGATGACATGAGGTACAAACCTCCTGTGGTATTTATGAACAGCTAAAAAAAGCAGGAGACAAAATAAAGATACAAACATTTATTAAAACACAAGAACATCTTAGCAGGAGCTAGGGTATCCTCAGAGACCCTGGTTCCCAACTTTTATTTACACTATGTATTTCCCATAACAGAAAAAAGAGACAATACAATTAGTTGAGCACCTATGGATTCAAAGTATAGGGTGTTGGGCCTGCAATGAGATCAAGTCTTAATGAATAATCATGAAGAGGTGGTATTATAGTAGAACAAGCCAATGAAAGAATACTCCCATGGGGCTCATATGTTATTGAGGGTTTCCAAGCAGTCCCTTGTGTACAATATGCGTTTTTTTTTAAATATTACTCATGTTGGCTTTTTTTTCTGTAATTTTTATGACAGATCTGCCTGAGGAAGCGAGCATGTCCTGCAAAACCAGTCACAGGTGGCTACCTAAGATCTTTGTCGATGTGACTGTCAGTTTCTGGCATATTACATGATTTTTCTGGTTTTAATGATATCTCAATGTTTGTTGTCATGCATTTTGAGCATTTTGTACAATAAAATGTAAACTTTTTTTGGTACCCTGAAAATCTAGTTCAGTGTCATTTCAATACAGGATGTGGTACCAGTAAAACTGGTGGACAGATTGAGACTGTATTGTATTAGTCTCCCTCCCTATGTCTAGGTTTATTGTATGGTGGAGAGACGTGTGTGTGATGGAACTTTGGTTGACCTCCTCTTGGGGGAATAAGTCTCCTAGCTGACGTTAAGATGTGGGATTTTCGTTTTTGGAATTTCCAGAGATGCCGTGAAAGGCAACCCTAGGAGATAATGAAGAAGGTGTAGTGGCAGAAAGATGTATAGGATTTGTTCAAAGATTTAATGAACAGCCACCCAAAAAGGTTGTAGCCAAGGACAGCGCCAATTAATATGGGCTAATGTACCTCTGGCCCACTCAATCTTCAGCATGACTCTGGCACCATCCGACTGTAAGAGTGCAGAACACCAGAAGTTTTATACTAGAACATTACCACCTTGTAAATATTTTCTTTATGGGTAACACATCAAGAAGTTTTAGCTTCTATTTCCCATATTTTGTTCCAGCACCGTAAGGGGGATGGAATGGTTAAGAGCTAAGCCCTATTTTCTCATATATACTTTAGAGGACAATCTTCTGTAAAAGAGGTAACCTCCATAAGCATCTTATACTGTATATAGAAGAAATTAAATGGGGTTGGTAGGTCCATGGATACAAAGACACTCGAAGCCCATGTTTGATCCAGAGCTAAGGCAGGCTTCAAAGTTGAGAAAAAAAAATTTAGAAATTGGAGATAAGAGTAAAAATCCCTTATGGGAATGCCTTTTTTTCTGGTCTGGAGCTGTTGACAAAAAATGTTTATTATATGTTACTGGTCGCACACTTTCAGTCATATGGTCCAACACATACAACCATGTTTAGTTGCGAAATGATTCGTCAAGCTGAAACAACACATGGCATGTCCTAAAGGCAACATATCAATCTATATCAGGGGTGGCTCCCGGCCAAAATGAATGCGGCTCTTTGCCTCTTATCATATTTTGTATACTGTGGCTCTTTGCCAAGTTTCATCTTTCTTTGGGGAGGTGGGGAGCGGGTACCTGAATTTGACAGGTACCCGCTCTTACGTCTTTGTTCTTTGATCTTACCTGTTCCTCTATTCAGCGGCGCGCTGTCTTCCGGCTTCTGTAGTGTGGGCACTGGGCATGACAGCCGGGTGCCAAGTGCGCATGCGCAAGAAGCGGTGCTTTTTGTGAATGGTAAGGCGGTACCTGGGACACATGACAGATCCCAGAAGCCGCCGGACCAATCACAAAGCGCAAGTGCTTCTCGCTCATGTGCACTGGGCACCCGGCTGTCATGCCGAGCGCCATTACAGAATCCGGGAAGACAGCACGCGGCTGGATCGAGGAACAGGTAAGATCAAACAAAAACTCTGCGGAAGTAAGAGCGGGTACCTGTCAAATTCAGGTACCCGCTCCCCACCTCCCCAAAGGTCAGCAGTCATCTGTACTGTCCGCAGTCTCTGGTCATCCCTGTGCTGTCCGCAGTCTCTGGTCATCCCTGTGCTGTCCGCAGTCTCTGGTCATCCCTGTGCTGTCCGCAGTCTCTGGTCATCCCTGTGCTGTCCGCAGTCTCTGGTCATCTCCTGTACTGTGTCTGCAGTCCATTAGTTCAGAATTTTTTTTTTCCTGTTTTCTGCCTCTAAAACCTAGGTGTATCTGGAATTCTATTGGTGGGATCTGGTTACTTGAGTTCCAGGATCTGCACAAATGTTGTGGCCATTGTGAGGGAGCTCACTTTCCCTTCTGGAAGTTTTCCCTCTGGCCAGGGATCCCTCACCAAACTAAATAATACCCCACTCCCTAGTTAATTGCTACAGCAATTTAAAAAAAATCTAATAGCCCCAAACACTTGCTTGAATCTGTCATCCTGTGAGACAATGGGTTTGAGTCTTCAATCTTCTGTACTGCAGAATGGGAGGGTCCTTCTTCTGATGCCTACATTGCTGCCTTAATGACATGAACACTTCCCACTGACTGTCTATGAACAGGCCCCTCCTATGCTTCTGTAGACTGCAGCAGCATGATGGCCTCACTACAAGCAGACCGGTGAATGGTGGGGCTGGTCTGTAGCACTAGATCACCAGTCCCCACATTTGGAAGTGGCACCATGCAGAGTCATGCAATGGAGGTCTAAGGCTAGTAAAAAATGATCTATCTATATATATATATATATATATATATATATATATATATATAATTTTAATATTGTTAATGTATGGGAGTGGGAATGAGTCAGGGGAATAAAGGGGGTCAGAATTTGCCCAGAGATGAGCTTTAATGACATCAGGTCAGATCTTGCTGTTGAAGTATCCAAAACAGATAAGAAGCTAGCCCATCGTGCTCCTTCTATATCAAAAAAATAACTTTTGGATGGCCAGACCCTTTCAAATGTATGTGTTAAAAACAAAGAGCACATGAAAATGATGACCTGTGAAAATTAAGTGCTCCCACACATAATTTTTGATGGGAACAATTAAAATTTCAGTCTTTAGTAAATCAATTTCTTTGTAACGAACTGTCTGGGTCAGATGGTGTACGTTGCTGTCAGCAACCATTATGTTTTTGCTTTCCTAAAATTAAGTGATCCTGTTAGCCAATCGTAGAGTTTTTTTTTTTCTTTTACTAGAAAGTTCCTTTGTTTTAGAGAAGAGGGGTGAGGCAATGGGATAATACAGACAAATTACCTGTGTGCTTCTCTTCATAGTTATATAGGTAATCTGGTTGAAAAAGACACAAGTCCATCCAGCTCAACCAGAAGAACTCTAAAGGATATAATGTGGACTTTCTAGGCACATACACTTAACACCATTATCTGATAAAAATATCTATTTATTAACAAAACCTTTAAAAACACACATTTGATCATATAAAAAAAACTATATGCATTTTATAAGTGGAATGGCAATGTATTCCCCCAAAATATTTAGTTGAGGTTCTTGATGTTATACTGTCTTGTAAATCGTCACATGGTATGACTCCTCCAACTATAGGGGTTTCCACCTTGAACAACAGTGCCCTACATGTTTTGTGACTAGAATCACTTCCTCAGGGGCTTGTAATGCATTAAATTACAGAAATATATATGCACAGTAGTCAGGGCGATGACTGGGACACCACTGGCATGGGGGCTGATCCCTCCCCAAAAGTGAATGTGGGGGCACACAGACAACAGTGAATTACCAAATGGTCACATAAAGCTGTCAGGCCTTACTCAATGCTCTCAAACCTTCCACGTTAGAAAAAATATAGTAAGGAGACAACATTTCCATTCATCTTTAAATAGGTGTATATTCCAATGGTCAGTCCTATAACTATGTCTCTCAAAGTATCCAATCGCCTGTCCTTATGTACCCCTTCTCACTAATGACCAGAAAACAACTGCTGTTAGCCAAGGGACTGATCCCTCCCCAGGTTCACCACTTCACCGCATTTCAACATCCAGAGTACTGTCGGTTACTTCGCTTGAGGTTCACCACTTCACCAGGTAGGTAATTGGTTGTTTAATATAGCCATTTCAACATCCAGAGTACTGTCGGTTACTTGCTTACTTTCTCATAAAAAGACATTAGATTTGTTTGTTTGACAACTTACATCTTTCAAACATGAATCCATGCTGGCTATTGCTTAAAATTTTTTTTTTTCATAGCAAAAACTCCTCTATGTGGTCTTTTATTTGACTCTCCAATATCTTACCGTCTATAGAAGTTAAACTAACATGTCTGTAGTTACTTGGTAAAGACTTTAAGCCCTTTTTAAATATAGGCACTACGTTGGCCTCCAGTGGTACTATGCCAGTCATTAATGAGTCCCTAAAAGTTAGAAACAATGGCTTTCAAATGACAAAGCTCAATTCTTTTAAGACACATGGGTGTATGTCATCTGGTCCAGGTGACTTACTCACCTTCATTCTGTCTAAATATTTCTGGACTATATCAATTTTGGGCTATAGTGTTTCATTTGGGGTTATGTCAATATCATCCACTTTATGGACATGAGCTCCCCCATTTTCCTTTGTATACACAGAGCTGAAGAAGGTATTTAATAAAGTTGACTTCTCTTTGTCCGCAGTCACCCACTCCGGATTATTTGTAAAGGGCCTACAAGTTCAGATCTAACCTTTTTATTACTAATATACTTGAAAAATTTGGGGGGGGGGGTTGTTGTCCTATTCTCTTTTACAATCTGTATTTCATTTTGAATTTTTGTAGCCTTGCTTTCCTTTTGACATATTCTGTTATATTTCTTGTAACCTTTTTAACGGGTTTGTTGTGCCTTCATTTTTATATATTTTTCAAAGCTCTTTTCCTGTTATTTATAGCTTCTTTTTAACTTTGGCTGTGAGATACATAGGTTTTATTTTCAGCCTTTTTAAACGTATCACCCATGGGAATATTTTTTGCAGCGTGTTTGCATACAGTCTTTTTTAAGAATTCCCATTTATGTTCTGTGTTCATCAATGCCAATATTCCCTCCCAGTCCATGTCTTGGAAGCAGCCCTCAGCCTTGGAAAATGTGCTCTCTTAAAGTTAAGTGTTTTTTTCTTTCCAGTATGTGTGTGTTGTTTACAGCTAACAATAAATTAAATCATGATATGGTCACTTCAACCCAGATGTTCTTCTATATGAATATTAGTATTAAGCTCTGCACGATTCGATTAATCAAATTAAAGGAGTTCCATATCAGGTGTGGGATATTTGAGGCTAGAAATCAGACACACATAAAGGCATCATTCCCTTGCTGGCTGAAGCACTGCAGAATCTTCTTTGCCAGTGCGGAATTTTCTAAACCATGGAAAAAGGTGAGTAGTTTCTCCCTCTCTAACAAAGTGCAAGTGCGTTATGGGCCTAAGGCTAATTCCCCCTTAGCTATCCTGTCAGGACCGCTAAAATGTGCAAAGAAAAAACATCACCTGTTAGTATGTGTTGCTCCTTTGTTGGTTAAATAGCTGGAGTATCCCTCACTTAGGTTAAGTTCTCTTTTATGGGCTCGATTGCGCTGCTCTTGCAAGACTGCCATTGATTCTGAATGGCACCCCCTGCATCTCAGCCTGCAGCGCATTTGTGGGAAACAAAGGGAAACCGCATGGTCAAAAAGACCATGCGATTTCCCTGTGGCCATGTTTTTAAAAAGGTGTATGCACCTGTGGGAAACACAACTCAGCAACCCATTCAAATGAATGGGCTACTGTGCCAGAGCAAACATGGGCCACACAACTCGCAATAGTGTGAACCGAGCCTTATTGACAAAATGCTGCAGAATGTAAGTTGGCAACAGTACTGCTCACCTAATGCAACATATCTCAACTAAATGAGGCCACCCCACAATGGAGTGTAATGTCATGCAGGTTTTTTCAGGGGTTAAAACTGATGGTGAGGAGGCAACATAATGCCTCCTCCCCACCTGACAAATGCCATCTGAAGAGTGATCCACTGTGGATCACTTTTCAGAGAGCTAATGCTAATGTAAACAAGCCATAAGAGAGGATTTTCCTAATTTTGTAGATAATTTATTTTTACTTCTTACTGTGTTTACAGGATGGGAAGTGAATGAAAATCTCCCCGTGGGACACAGTTAAAAAACCTGACAAGCGTTCTAACTACTTCTACGTTATTGAAAAAAAAAACACAAAATAAAAATGCCAAACGTTGGCTTTAGATACACTTTAAACTGGCATGTGGCTACCTGATATAGATACTTTTCAGGTATTACCACTAGCAGCCTTGATAAATTATTTCTTGACATTTGAAAGAATATGTAGATGTACTGTACACATGAAGTGGAGATAGAGATACACATGAATTGAAAGACTGTTTTATATATTTGTCTTCAGTTCTCATTCAAGTAAAATCATATAATTATGCTGGGAGGGGTGAACAGACTTGCATTTTGTAAACGCTGTATGAGAAATGAAAATACTAATTTCACAGAAATCATTACCGTTAACACAGGAAGAATGTATTTCTAGCACTGCCACTATATGTAGTTTGCTTTAATGAATACGATAAACAAGAGGAACAAATTGAGCAAGTATGTAATATCATTGTGAATATTTATGGAAGTTTAAGAGATTCCTGACTGTATTAAATAGGTCATGGGCTCTGTTGTAAATACGACGAGAAAATTTGTATAAACTGCTGTTTGGTGGACTAATACAACATCAATCTCTGAAACTATCTGCCAGTATGGCTTCTATTTAAACTGCCTTCATTTCCATAATTTACAGTTTCATTTTCTCCACTTAGAATATAGGCAGAGTGTGATACGCCAAGATAAATGATGCCATTTGCTGCATTATCTTTTTGGGAATGGAAGTAAAGAAAAAAAAAGCAAATCTCACTAAATGACAATCAAGGTAAAACCACAACTCATAATAAATAAGATCATTTGAAGCTGAAATAGGATTTCTATCAAATACTCTGTGAGTTTGATTTTATAATTAGTCAAGCTTGAATAGTTTTAATTGCCGCCAAGA